GGTGAACACGTGCTTGATACCATCCCCTGCTTCGTGGAGAATTCAAGTAAAAAAAATGGACCCGTGCACCAGTTTTTGTAGTAAAAGGGCGTGCACTGTATCTTGTAGCGGCGTTCCATTTGGCACTCAAAAATCGGAAATGCATTTTGTAGTGATTTATTTTGGGATGCGTTGTGTCGTACCGGAAACCCCAAAGCCCTCTTTTGCCGGTCATGCCCGGTTACATGAACATATAGCTTGGACCCTCAGACCATTTTTGGCTCTTGACTCACGATTATTTCGTGGTAAGATGAACCCTCAAAAAATCGAAAAAAAAGACAAATAATGTAGAGACTTTAAGACGGAAACATGGGACAGACTTGGTTTCAAAACCCATCAATTGAATTTGAAGTGGTGCGCTCAGATCAATTTTGCTGCCCCATAGCTCTGACGATTGCAGTTCAAAATCTCTGTGCGGTGCTCTTGTCACATCTATTTTGGCGATTATATGCGATTACCAATCATAATTAATCTAATCTATCCCATTCTGCTAGATTCCTGCTCCTTTTGTCCAATGGTCAAGTTTCACCCAAGTTCAAAGAATCCATGCTCAGAGTTCCTTTCGCCCACAATGTCACAAAGCACAGGTTCGATGCGTGATGTCCTAGTTTCTGGATGACTTGTGTCATGCACTGGATTTTGTAGTGACACACGCGTGCACAACCTTTTGTAGAACCTACTGCGCCCCCCTTCAGATAAGCCCCAAAAAGATCGAAACGCATGCTTTTTATGTAGAGACTTTAAGAAGGAAAAATGGGACAGATTTGGTTCAAAACCGATCAATTGAATTTGAAGTGGTGCGCTCAGATCAATTTTGCTGCCCCATAGCTCTGACGATTGCAGTTCAAAATCTCTGTGCCCTGCTCTTGTCACATCTATTTTGGCGATCACGTGCGATTACCAATCATAATCTAAACGTATCCCATTCTACTAGGTTCCTGCTCTTTTTGTCCAATGGTCAAGTTTCACCCAAGTTCAACGAATCCATGCTCAGAGTTCCTTTCACCCACAATGTCACAAAACACAGGTTCGATGCGTGATGTCCTAGTTTCTGGATGATTTGTGTCATGCACTGCATTTTGTAGTGACACACGCGTGCACAACCTTTTGTAGAACCTTCTGCGCCCCCATCCAGATAAACACCAAAAAGATCGAAAAACATGCTTTTTATGTAAAGACTGTAAGAAAGAAAAATGAGACAGATTTGGTTTCAAAACCAGCCAATTGAAACTGAAATTGTGCGCTCAGATCGTTTTTGCTGTCCCATAGCTCTGACGATTGCAGTTCAAAACCTCTGCGCCGTGCTTTTGTCACACCTTTTTTGGCCATCACATGCGATTATTAGGTAAAATCTAAACGTATCCCATTCTACTAGGTTCCTGCTCTTTTTGTCCAATGGTCAAGTTTCACCCAAGTTCAACGAATCCATGCTCAGAGTTCCTTTCACCCACAATGTCACAAAGCACAGGTTCGATGCGTGATGTCCTAGTTTCTGGATGACTTGTGTCATGCACTGGATTTTGTAGTGACACACGCGTGCACAACCTCTTGTAGAACCTACTGCGCCCCCCTCGAGATAAGCCCCAAAAAAATCAAAACACATGCTTTTTATGTAGAGACTTTAAGGAGGAAACATGGGACAGATTTGGTTCAAAACCGATCAATTAAATTTGAAGTTGTACGCTTAGATCGTTTTTTCTGCCCCATAGGTCTGACAATTGCAGTTCAAAACCTCTGCGCCGTGCTTTTGTCAAACCTTTTTTGAAAGGTCAATTCTTGGTATCCGATGGAAATCCCAAGGTTGTATTTACTTGTGCTCGGCAAATACTATGACCTGGGCCCCAGAAAGCGAACCAAAGATTTAGAGTGAAATATCCAGAAACCATATAGTAGAGAATCATGATTTTTCACTGCAACCCGTTTTCACTACAAAATGGGTACGCAAAGTCATTTTGTAGTGACCGACATTGGCTTTTGATCCACCATAAAAACCACCAACCCATTTGGTAGCAAGGGGGGTTGGTTCAGATTCAAGCGTCATTTTGTAGTATAAGGCTGTGTTTGTAAACGGTTTAGTGGGCACAACTTCTCTGCAGAATGTGTAGTGTACTTGTTCACTAATGTTTTGGTTGTTGTGGGACTTCATCTATCATGATGTACCATTTTGGCTCAAGTTGGCTTCCATGCTTTGGTGCTTTATTTGTTTTATGCTTGGTCATGCGTTTTTCATGCGTTTTTCCACAGGCGTTTCATCAACTACATGGTTTTACAAGGAACATTTTTCTGTGTTTTCACGTCACAACTGTTTTTATCCCATCTTCTTTCCATTGCACTACCGGCCGGTCCCGGGCGTGCATGTTGCGGCCAGCGGCGGTGGGCCAGATTCATTTTCATTTTGTGTTCGCAGATCAGTCAGTTTATGCTGCAGAAGTCAGAACTGTGATTTTCGAATTCCTGTACGTCCCACTACCTGATTGCTGGCCCTGGGAACGTCCCATACTGACAACCTTGAACTGGGATCTGTATCATTTTAGCATCACTTGCTGCGCTTTTCATCGACCTTGTGTGACGTTTTTGACGGTGGACACCCCCAGCATTGCTCTGTCGTCGGCCTCAGATTCCAGTTAGATTTCAGGTTTTTCCATTGCATTGAAACGACATGGACACAGACACAGAAGAATGGATTTTGATCGCTCAAGCCACCCCCAAAAGACAGAGTGCCCCAAAACCAGTTCCTGTGAGTCACCGCCCCACTGTGACCAGTTTGAGTCAACCATTGACAAAAGGTGGTAAGGCAGTCCCACCTTTTGTGCGCGCGACAGTCTGAACCTGAAGTTTTACAACATGTGCATGCTCGCCAGGTTCCAGGTAAACGTAAATCAAGTGATGCTCAATTTTTTGCAGCTCCACGTGGAGGAAAATCCAACCAACCAGCTGTTCGCTCCTCGAGTATTCCTGCAGATTTGATTGCCAGATGGATGCTGCTGGTAAACAGTGTCGGGGCCTTATCTACCATTTGGCAGGACTACCATACATCTCAACAGTTCGACATTCACTGTCAACGCCTTTTGGAGAAGTTTGCTCCATCCACACTGCACAAATATATCAATACGTTACAATGCATTTACAGTATTCTCGTGGACTTTTCTTGGACCTGGGATGACATTGGTTGCCATCACCTCTCAGATCTATTGCAGATCGCTCATGAAGGACAGAACTCGGAATGGGGTTTCGGGGCCACAACAGCCATCAAGGCATTGCGCTGGGCTCAGAAGCTACTTTTAGTATCGTCCTGGCAGATGTTGTATGACCCCGTCATCAACTCCTTTTTCAGTTCTAACAGTCATGAACGAAGAGAATCAATTCCACTCAGCTTATTTTTGGTTTCTCAATGGGAAAGACGGCTTCTCATGAAAGAATGCACATTGCAAGAACAGATTTTGCTTGGAGGGCTACTCTGTATGTTATGGGGTGACTTGAGATTCGCAGATGGACAGCGGATTTCATTGCATTCACTTTCCTGGCGCATTACTGCTTTGAGGGGTTCCTGCTATAGAACAAAAACATCGAAGACGGGACAACCTTGGGCTATTCAGGCTCGAGGCTTTTTGTCTCATGGAGAATGGTCTTGGGTGGCACAATGGTTGGTCGCGCTGGACACCCTATGGTCCCGAGCTCACAATGCAATGTCTGATGCAGATTTTTTGCTGCCCATGACACGGGATGACCAATTTGCATATCCATTGGTGCCCATGCCATATTCACAAGCATTGCGCTGGCTTCGATATTTCTGCACTTTGCCTTGGAAGCATTCTGCAATACCGGATTCTGCCAATCCTGGTGATTATACTTTGCATTCTTTGAAAACAACAACACTGAGTTGGTCTAACCAACTTGCCCAACAGGGCTTGGTTACAGAGGAACAACGCCATTTACAAGGACACCACCGTAAAGGTAGCATGAGGCTTTACAGCCGTGATGACACAGCAGGTCAACTGGCTCTACAGAACACCCTGATACTGCAAGTCCAAAAAGGACACCGGTTTGTAACACCATTGCACCGGGGGTCGCAGAAGCCTATTCAGGAACCTGCAGTATCCTTGGAGAAGTTTCGCAAAGCATATCAAGATCACACATGGCTTTTTCTGCCTTTCAATGCAGCGAGTCCCGATCCCATTTTGGAAGGGATACCGGACCATCAGGAACAGTCCGTGCCGAGCCAGGCAGATTCCAACGATGGAGACTCATCGGACTCCAGTTCGAGCTCTTCCTCATCAGCATCATCCTCAGTGTCAAAACAGATTGACATTGGAGAGCCGGAGGAACTCATAGTGGCCCGGATCACGAAGATCCAACATATGATGATAGCTTCATCTGATTCTCATCAGCCGGTTTGGGAAGACCGGCACTTTCGAGCAGCTTGTGGGGCCAGACTTCCGCGTGATGATTGCGTTTTTGATACCCAACTTGATCCTCAAATGGCAATGTGCCGGCATGCAGCTTGTTTCAAGCGTTGGCAGCAAGTATGTGCTCTGAACCACTGACAGTCGTCTCCTTAAAAAGAAAAAGGAGGGCATTCATTGCCGCGGCATTCAAATCCCAAGATACTACAAGCATTTTCTTGTTGTTAACGTGACAGCTTCATTGCAGACCCATTTCACATGTCATGGCAAACAATTTTTAACGGTTGATGTCGCATTCATTCGCGTCAATTGAACCTAGTGTTCTTATCGGAGTCGCTCATGCGGTTCAAGACCCAGGTGGCCGGCGGGACACTCATTTGGATGTTTTCACACAGTTATTTGCAGGGATGTTTCATAGATCTATATATAACCCCCCTATTCCTCCTCTAACAATTTGTGTTATCATGTTGTTGACATCCCCACTGCTTTGACTCATAAAATTTTTCTTTCATGATTTGCCCTTGGGCATTTGCGTTTCTCGCCATTGCGGGCGTGACCATGGCACTTCCCGAACTGGAAGACCATTTGGCAACACATGGCGTGGACCCAGCGTTGAGTAATCATATGGTACAGAATGGATGGACAACCCAAAACTTCTCAGTTATTGTGGACTCCATTTCTGGTTTTACCGATGAGATATGGACGGAGTTATCAGAAAGCCCCATTTCGCTAGTGCAGCGTTCCAACCTGAAAATAGCATGGCAACAACTTCAACCGGCAGCTGTGCTACCGGGGCGTGAGTTGCAAACTGGTGCGGCGGCATCAGCAGCGGGTGTCCCGCAAGAAGGCTCGTGGGCAGAATCCTTTGCCCCAAAAATTCAACCGAGTACAGTTGCCAAGCTCAAAAAGCAATTCCTGGTGGATTACCCAAGTGAAGTTCTTACGCCGGAGACGATGCCATCCACGCGTTTGCTGTCCCTTGCCCATCATCAGCATGGCAAGCAAGAATATCGATGGATCCCGTGGAAATTTCGGATGACACAAGCCAGGCTGGAAGACATGGTTATATACCAACGTCCTAAGGTTCCCAAAATCGAAGGTCTTCAACTACATCAGCTGATTTGGGATGAGCCCCCATCCCTTGACATCAACAATCAAGGGATGGGGGTCAACGCCATTAGGAATATGCTGGATGTTCATAACATAGCACTTGCTTTGGTGGGTTCCTGCCATCTCCAACGACTCCGTGCATATTCATTGAAATTCATGAGCTACATGATCCAACGCCTCGAAGGGGATTCAGGTCTTCGTCTACCCAATGTGCTCGAAGCCCAAGCTGCTGATAAAGCCTTGTGGCAACTGATTCACGATTTGGTTTTGGATCAACAGTTCACTTTGGACAATGCAATCCACGAAGTGACCCATTTGCGTTCGGACATGGCATCCTTGCTCCAGCCTCGACCGAAGGTGACCTCCAAGCCTTCACCAGTACCCCATCCTGGTGCACCGATACCGACTGCAAAGGGCCGTGGAAAGTCCAAAGGCAAGGGCAAGCAGACGGGCAAAAAGGGTGAATCACCTTCTCGACCTACATGGATCACCGAAGTGACAATCCAGGGCAAACGTCAACAGTTGTGTATGCAGTTCCAATCGGGGAAATGCCAGAAAGGAGATACATGCCGATTCCAGCACCTATGTGCATACCCATTAGCATCGGGCCAAGCTTGCGGACAACCGCATAGTGCATTCGACCATCAACAACAGCCCCACTGACTCTCGATCACTCCAACACGGACTTCAGAGCCTCAGGACCAGCAAGAGCAGTTTCACTATGATGTAGAACCCACTCCATTGCAGGACACGTCAACAGATGTTTCCAAAATGGAGGACACCACAGTTTCGAATTCAATAGCTGCTGACGCTTTCACAATTCCACACTCGGTTCAAACCTCTGTGGATGTTTCACCATTGAAAGGATCCAGAATTTTTCTGGATATTTGCGCGGGTGCTGGATACCCATTGACCGAAGCTATGTTACAACATGAATGCATTTGCTTTCCAGTGGACATGTTGATTGATGCCAAGATGGATTTATTGGATAACTCTTTTTTCGAACCTCTTTTGAGGATCTGTTCATCAGGTATGGTGGGTTATGGGGCAGCAGCCCCTAACTGTGGCGAGTATAGCCGCCTTAAACTAAGGGAAGGCGGTCCTCCAGGACTGAGAACGCCAACATTTTTGGATGGACTTCCCAATCTGAACCCCAAAGACCTTGAAAAAGTTCAAAGCAGCCACACCTTAATGGCCAGGAGCGTTTTGTGCTTGGAATTGATATTCGCAGCTGGGGGACACGGCCATTTAGAGCAACCCACAAACTCGATGGCTTGGTTGGAACCTATAGTGAGACGTTTCATCAAATTTTGTGCCTTATTTTTAGTGAATTTTCCAGCCTGCTCATACAATCGCAACTGGTACAAGAGCTGGCTTCTGGCATGCACATACCCAGCTATGAAATCGTTGGGCTCCAAGTGCCAACACCCTGCGGGCACCCATGAACAAATTGCGGGGGCTAGGACAGCTGAAGGAGTTTACAAAAGTCGAGCCACGGCCGAATACCCTACTGAAATGTGTCAAGCCATTGCGGGCTTAATTGCTCCCTTGTGTTCTCCTTCTCAGCGGCGTTTATTGGACCTGGATGCTGCTCAAGCTTACATTCCTATTAAACAGCTACATGAACTTCCAGTGAGCTATGAAGATGGTGGTGGATTGTTTTCTGAACCTGACTGGAGTCGACCGCATCGCTCCGTCCCAGACTGTTTCCACGATTTGAGGCAGCAATGGGTACAAATCGTTTTGAAAAATGGTTTAGTGAACAAATTGAAACAATGTTTTGCTTCCGGTGATGTTCAGCCTCCTTTTAATGATCAGGATATCCAGCCATTTAAACAGAGCTTGTCTGAGTTTATCCAAAAACATGACATGATCCCTGACTGGTCCATACGTTCGGATCAACCTATGCACCTGGAGATCATGGCCGCACTGTCGAGAATCATGGGTGACAAGGACTCTACCTTATTTCCCATGCTACGAGAGGGGGCTCCTACTGGTTTTGACAATGATATCCCCCCTTCGGGATGCTTTCCAATTGCAGAAGACAAAACTGATGATTCAATTCCTCTCTCTATTCATCAGACCAATTGGCAGTCGGCAGAATCGGACCTGCCCACCACCAGGGACTTAGCTGCTCAGGAACTCCAAAAGGGCTGGATCTTCAAGTACCAAGGATCACTGGAGGACGCTCAAGCTGAATTTGGTACAAAACTGGCCATTGGCCGCCTTGGATTGGCCACCAGTGACCACAGACCACCACGATTAGTAGTAGACTCTTCCATATGCGGAGTCAACAACCGCTGTCATATACCTGAGAGGACTACATTGCCGAGTGCTCAAGATGTGATGCGGGTCTTTCCGTTAAGGAACACCTCTGACCCCTTGGTGGGATTTTCCCTCGACATTAAATCCGCTCACAAGTTGGTGGTCATCAAAGAGACCGATCGCGGACTCCTGGGATTCACTCTGGACAATGATATATATTTTTATAAAGTAGCTCCTTTCGGGGCTACATTCAGCGCATATCATTGGACTCGCATGGGCAGCTTCATTTTGAGGTGCATCCACTTCCTGCTATGGTGGTCGCACGCTGGATTCATCTACGTAGATGACTTCTTCTTCCTTTTTCCCAAGAGCGTAGCTTGGATTATGGCTTGCATTTGCTGTATTTTTGCACAAGTGCTCAACATCCCGATTTCTTGGCGCAAAACTGAATTTGGCCCTCGAGTCCAATGGATCGGATGGCAATTTCATATTACTGCAGGCTACATCAGCCTACCCACCAATAAGATCGACAAGCTCTCTGAATATATTTCTTCGATGCTCAGATCCTCTCGGACCTCCAAAAAATCCTTGGAGAAATTGGTGGGACTGCTTAATTGGATTACACAAATATTTTTATTGATGCGCTGTTGGCTCCCAGTCCTTTACCGGGATTTATTTCATATTCCTGCTAGTCACTACAGTATTGATCCAGGTCACTGGAAACACGTGATTGAATGCATGGATGACAATTTGCAATCTACAGGGACAGGCATCCCCATTGGGAGCACGCTACTGGCTGTTCGACATCAAGCTGTCTCTTGCAAAGCTGACCTTTTCCAAATTTATTTATCTGAACGTCGAACCTGGTTACGACTTCGTGACCCATCCTCCATCAAACGAACCTTAAGTGCGGACTCTCACCGAATCTTGAAGATGTATGCAGCCTGGCTTCAATCCGTTTCCTTGATTAAATGTCTACGACCGAAAACACTTTGGATGGGTGAATGTGCAGCTGACGCCATGGCATCTAAAAATATTTGCCAAATTGGAGGCTTCATCCGATTTCCTTCTGGAACTCAAATTTGGTTCAGCGAAAAATTTGAATTTCAACAATTTGCCGATTTGAATATCCCTGTGACAGAAGACATGCAAAAATGCATTGCCTCATTTGAAACATTAGCACAGATTGCAATTTTATTCATTTTCAGCCGCAGCTCACCGGGATTTCGTTTCCCATTGAGAATCCCGTCCTTGACTGACAACACGGGTGCAGAGGCAGGAGGGAACAAACTTTTCTCCACCACCATTCCTTTGAACCATTTTCTGGAGCGATTGACATTGCTATGCACCATATCGGGTATGGAATTAGACCTGTCCCACATTTCTGGAGATCGAAATGACGAAGCAGATGCATTGAGCCGTTGGGATTTCGTTAGTGAGCCACCATTCAATCACGCTCTCCACAATCGATTTCCCATTTCTTTAACTCAATTGTGGCATCCGGAAACATCCGTTTCATTGCATCCGGCAGACACCTTCCTTTCATGGCAACTCCCGTAGCGGTATCTATTTTTTCCCTCTCTTTTCAGACTGCTGATATTCAACACTTGTTATTGGCCCTTGTATGTTGCGTTTGAATCCCAACAGTCAGATAGATAATGGGGGAAATTGAGACCATCAGATGTTGGATTCAAATATGGATAACGTATCCATGGATGCTTTGCTTGGACATAATCAAGGCAGTCGAAAAAGAGAGAGGGAAATCACCAGTGCGGTCTCAGAGTTTCAGATTTGAAGACTTGCGTTGCGGTCGGCGTATTCGTGATGTTTATATATATATATTATTTATTTATTGTATATATAAATAATATATATATTTGATTAGATGGAAGCCAACTTGAACCAGAACGTGTAGTGTACTTGTTCACTAATGTTTTGGTTGTTGTGGGACTTCATCTATCATGATGTACCATTTTGGCTCAAGTTGGCTTCCATGCTTTGGTGCTTTATTTGTTTTACCCTCCCTCCCACACCTTGTATTATGGGGGAAATTATCTTATAATTGATTCAACTTTCTACGATCGCAGGGTTTCACCCATCACCTTGGCCATCCCGGCTTTTCGCTTCCGTTTCATTGCACGCTCCAGCGTCAGCCAGTATGTTTCATTGATTTTCATTTAATGAAAATCACTTCAGCCACCGAATTGTTTCAAACTTCAGCCACCGCTGAGACAACCAATTTACATTTCTGCTTGGTAGTCTGGGAACCTACTCCCATATTTCCGACACCTATTCCTTTGCTTTTGCCTTCTGATGGGGGAAATTGAGACCATCAGATGTTGGATTCAAATATGGATAACGTATCCATGGATGCTTTGCTTGGACATAATCAAGGCAGTCGAAAAAGAGAGAGGGAAATCACCAGTGCGGTCTCAGAGTTTCAGATTTGAAGACTTGCGTTGCGGTCGGCGTATTCGTGATGTTTATATATATATATATATATTATTTATTTATTGTATATATAAATAATATATATATTTGATTAGATGGAAGCCAACTTGAACCAGAACGCGAACAGGGATCATTATATACCATTGCTGATTCCATGATTGTTGCAAGTTCTCTTTTGGTTTACATGAGAGTGTCTGCAAATAGGGTAGCCCGGTACCTCAGGACTTTAAAGCCTTGTGTTCCTCGTCGGAGTTGTCATAAATTGGTGGCCCCCCATTTTCAGACACATCCGCATATCATGTTGCTTATTGTTGGTTATAGATAGATAGATATACATATATATATATATTATATTATATATTATATATATACCATCTTATATCTCATGTTATATCCCGATGTCCCCATGTTTTCCATGACCAGGTGGCCATCGGCCAAGCTGGAGCCATTCACCCCTTGATTCGGCTGCTGGAAGACAACGAGCAGAGGGTGCCACGAGTCGTCGTCGTCGTCGTGGGAGATCCATGGGATAACTGATATTATAGTGATTTAATGGGATTTTACAGTGATTTAATGGGATATTAATGGGATATACCCTCTGGTAATTTGTTGCATAGCTATTGAAAATGGCAATTTATAGCTGATGTAGCTATTAAAAAATGGTGATTTTCCATAGTTATGTAAACGTTTACCAGAGGGTAACTGATGTACCCTCCAGTAAATTAACATAGACCCTGCCAGATAGGTGTTGGAAGATGAGTTTCTGTTATTGAAAATGTTATTTTCAGGGTCTATGTTTCTTTACCAGAGGGTAATGTTTGCCATTGATATCCCATATTTACCATTATTTACCAGTATATCTATTGATATATCAACTGTAAAATTGTAAATATCAATGGGATATACACTGTTCAGTGGAAATTATCCATATTAATATAATGTGAAATATTTACTGGTAAATCGACAGTTCGATCCTGAAAATAATCCATGTTTTAGTGGAAACGAATCTTCCAACCCCTATCTGGCAGGGTCTATGTTAATCTACTGCAGGGTAACTAAGTATATATGACGTTTATTATGGGAAACTCATAGGATATCAATGGGGTATCACTAGGGATATTATATTTGGTGAACTGTTGGGTTTATAGTACATATGCACAGCTGGGGCCTGGGCGGTCCTCATCTTGTCTGTGGGTATCATGGGATATGAATAGATATGGTGTCATGATGGGATCTATCATGGGAATACAATGGGATACAACGCGATGTAACTAACAGTATGATATTGGTGTATGTCTGAACATGGAAGAATGATGAAAAATGCGTCCAAATTGCAATTTAAAGGTAGGGCACGTGGATGAACATCAAGGTGAGAGTACCCCATATTGAGACGAACCCAGAAAATTGCATGAAATAGGGGGTATGTTTCTGGGTGAATGGTGATGTGAATGGAAGATATCAATGGTTTTTTTTCATGGGGGATGGATGTGCTTGATCCCTCGGGGACACCGAGTGCATGGGTCATGCAATTCACAACTGATGGTTGGTTGATGGTTGGTTGATGATTGCTGAATTATATTGAATTATTATATCTCTTTCCCAATCATGAATGATGAACTTATTTCCCGCTGAAACATGACTGGATTTGTTTGCCTCTTGCAATGACGCTGGCGTGGGCAAGCCAATGGGAATGAAATGTGTCATCCCAAAACTTTGCAAATGATAAGTAAAATGAAGTATATAATTAAAAAATGATTATATGAGTCAAAATGATTCAGGTCATGGTGGTCTCAAGTTTGTAATGCAACATGTGATGCATTTCTAGATGCATGTCTTGATTTCCGGCCCCCTTTTTTCCACCCGGCCGCGATATTGGTCATGATGGGCACCCTGTGGATCCATCACCTGAATCTGTCCAGCTCGAGCTGGTCGGACTTAAATGATTTGTGAGTTTTGACGCACGTTGAGTTGCAGGTTAAACATGGTTAAACCATCATTGTTGTCCCTTTTTTCTATGTTTTGCCAGTTCAACCTGCTTTTGGTTACACCGAAAAACACCATCATTGTTGGTGAAACCACCATTGTCATCGACTTTCCCAGATCCGAGTGGTGGCTGCAGCTGTGTTGCCTGGGGGCTCAGGGGGCTCAAGGGGGCTCAGGCGCAAATGAAATTGGGAGGCGTCCACACAGTTTGCTAAGTTGAGTTACAACTTGGTTAACTAGGATTTATAGGCAATTTATAGGGGTTATTGCTATAGTTAGATGGGGTAATAAACCAACTTACAAACTAGGGGTCCCCTTCCTGAAGGAAAAGGACAAAAACTTGTCCAATTGGTTTCCTTGTTCCTCCTTTTTTGTGTTTCGCTTTCAGCCAACAAATGATCATGGATCAAGAATAGTGGGAATATGATGGGAATGAATGGCCAAGAAATGAAATTCAGGTGGTTGTTTCAAATGGACCCCAAGCTATCATCCAAGAGATTCGGCATGTAAACTAATGGGAGAAACCAATGTTGATAAGGGGCAACCCAATTTTAAAGAACGCCCAAATGAGGGTTCATCAACAATATCAACAGAAAGCACGAAAATGCGGATACTCCAAGAGTTTTCGCCGAAGAGGATTGTAGCATTGCATGTGAGATGGCCTGCCATATGCCAGCGAAATGTAGTGCCGCTCAGCATGGATTCTCTATTGCAACATTTTTCCCCATAACCATTTTGGCAATGTGCTTTGCCAGGGTCGCACCATGCAAATGTTGCATGATTTGTCAGAAAGACGAGCATATTTTCAGGACGGATTCATAACCAGTATAGCCACCATTTACCATCTTGTAAGCTCTGAGATTCGATTTTGATGCTACACTCCAGTGAATCATTTGTGGGTCAGATATTGAATGATGTTGATATGTACAATATATATTATGGATATATATATATATATATATATACAGTGTATATATATATATATACAATATGAATTTGCCAACTTTTGGCGACATTCCCAGTTCCTACAGGTTCCAGTTGGTTCTATTCCTTCAGCTGCCAGGAACGACTTGGCTTCAGACAATCCGGACAACCAGGTGGCGATTACCCAAGGAGGCTCCATCGGCGTTGACTCAGTAGGAACCCAAAAAAACGGTAACCCTCGGGGCGTTGACTATACATGAGTGACTGAGTGTTTAACTGTTTTTGGTGTGTGTAATTTTTTGTAAAATATGTTTCCCAGGTTTGATTTCAGAGCTGTAAAACTCATCATGTCCTGATGAAGTTTATGAGGAGTGCTTCAATAATTTCATGATTTCAGATGGAGCTGCTTCGATCATCATTTCCTGTTCCATGAGGATGGCTTGACCATCCGTATCCGACCGAATTTGCAGCGTGATTTTGGAGGTGACATTGCAGCGCCGAAGATCGACGTAGTACTGATTTCGTTGGGACAAGCCCAAGCAATCCCCTACGTTTCTCACAGAAACCTCTTCTCTAAGCGAGTTCGTGCATTCAGCTCTACAAGGTCTTGGAGAGTGGCAAGACGATTGGGGCAGCCCTTGCAAGACGTGGCAAGTTTCTTGAGAATCTTGATATGTTGTTCGTGCTGTGTGTATCAATGATTTGGCATGAAGAGTCATTGTGTAATGCCAGAATTATATATAAATTTATAAATATGTATGCAATTATATATATATATGTATATGGTACCGCAATACTCTAACTTCGATAAAAAGTAGTACAATATGGTCCATTAATGGCCGAACATTGCATATACGTACTTAAATAAGTAGTATGTTATATATATATACATTGATGGCAACCCATATTGTGATGAACCATATATTGTGCTTTGGGACACATCCATTCGTCAGAATATTGCACGAAGAGAAGAAGGTCAGACACCGCCGACACTGCCGTGTACCGTTGCCTCACCTAGCAACTCCAAAACAAAAGATGCAGAAAGGTAAATCCTACTAAAATAGAGGTACCATCCGGTAAGCAAACATGGCAATGGAAAACCCCCTGTTTTTTCGATGAGTTTCCCAGCTATGAGGCTCCATTTAAAAAGGGACTGGCTGGGGAGGTTACTGGTTCGCATGTTCCATCGTTGTGCAGGTGCCATCGATCCATTGGTCCGCATCTTGAAACGCGATGAGGTCCCGAGCTGGGGGATGGTCACGTCACGTCTTCGACGGATTTATGGAGGTTTTTTATCGACCAATCAGGTGAGCTTGACTGAGCTGAACATGCTGAACCAACCAAATCTATCCAAATCTTGGAAATATTGAGGATGTAACATGATGTAACACGATTTGAGCAAGTCATCTCAATGGTTTGGAACCTGTCTTCACTAGTGACCTGGGGTAGAATCTAATGAAGGATTACACAACTGATTGATGAGTTGAATGTCTTTTTTGCTTTGTGGTTTCGGGTTTTTGATGTCCAAGCATATTGAGGATAATTATCCCAACAACTAAATTTCTGAGGGGCTGAAGCCACCAACCAGTTTTTGATGGTCTCGAAATGTTGATGATGATTTCTGGGTAAGTTATAACGGCCTCACCGCGATCTCACTGAGTTAACTGAGTTAACTATCCCCAAAATGTCCTTATTTCAGATTGGTGAATGATTACAATTGACCCAGGTAGCATGGCCAGTATCTCAGTGAAGTTATACACCTTTCAGGTGGCTAACAGGAAACCCCATTCTCCACTGACCTCGCTTTTTGCGAGGTAAGCGGAAGGCTGGGGCTACCTATATGTGGGCAAAGTCAAGAAGTGGCTATTCAGATGTGTATATAATGTATATATATATGTATATATATATATGTATATATATATATATATGTATGTATATATATATGTATATATATTTACATACAGCCCTATCATTATTCCCATGATATCCTCTACGTATATACATATGTATATATATATATATATCTCCTCATAGATCCCCATTACAGTTGACATGTTGATTGTGGTAAACTCAAAATTCTAATCCATCACCAACATCACCATAAGATTATTATGGGCGGTATAAACTGTATAAACCATCCCCAGATGGTAGCTTCATGGCATGAGTTTTGCGCGCCAGGCACCCGCCCTAGTCATGGCCGCCAGCCTTTTGAAGAGCTTGGCGGCAGGTGCTGCAGCGGAGCAGGCTTCGACTCTGGGGGGCTGCCATGAAATCATAGGAACACCATGAGGAAAATCATAGGATTTATAGGAAATATGATTGGGAGATAATGGGAATATATCCATTTATGTGGGATAATCATTGGGAATATAATGAGAATATACTGTACCAATCATGGAAGATATTCAGAGGGATTTATCGGGAAATTCTATGCCATTTTGGCTCTTCAAGAGCGGGTGCCTGCCCATTGCGACCCAACACGAAGTTCCTGGATGATCGAGCGGATGCAGAGATGACATCATGATAAAATACATGGGTTCCATAGGGATTTATAGGGAATATGGAGAATATTTGGGATGATCATTGGGATATTTCTTGGTATGATAAATCATGAAAGGTCTTTATAGGAAACCCTTTATTCAGTGGGATGATACCAATTGGGATACCATTATTAGGATATCATTGGGGTAAAGACATCATAATGATACCCTCGGGTGTCATCAAAAGTGGTTGGCTGGAAAATCCCCGAAATGAAGATTTATAGCTTGGATAAACATTACATATATATGTATATACATATATACATAATATATATATAGATATATAGATATGGGAGATGTTCCATTACCATGTTTAACTACCGGAGGGTATGCGGAAATTTGCAGAAGGTTGAGTTAAAACCATGATGTTTGGGTGGGGGTGGTAGTACTTTTTTGGGGGGACAAGGCCATATCTTGTTGGGGATATCACTGGCCGAAGTAGGATTCAGCTGGTTTTGGCAGTGAACAATTGGCGCTTAAAGCAGCTAAAATGTGCTAAAATACGGATTCAAGCAGTTAGTCAGGACTGTTAGACTAGACACGGCATGTTTTTTGTTACAATCGCCAGGTGTGTAGGTTGTCACACATTTGCTGGTGAACATGTCTCATATTCTACTTCATGCGTTTGTGCATCAGTCCAAATTACATTATAGATAGATGGATAGATTAGATCAGATTAAACTGGATTACAGTAGATTATTAATGACAAGATAATTACTGGTAGAAAACGGTATGGTTAACTAGAGGTGTCAAGCAATGGATGGTTAACTAATGATGGTCAACTAAAAATGGATGAATTTGATAATCAGATTGGATAATTACCTCCAGTCTTACAGTAGATTAGATTACGCACAGAGATGTCAAAATAATACGATAAGAGGTAATGGATGGCAATTACATAAGCATATTAGATGACAATTAATTACATAATTACCCACCCCATGTTAGTTTAGATTTGCCCAAAAAATGGACCACTCAGCACCGCGCACCGCCACAGGACTCAGCGCCCTCCGCGTTGCTGGGCGCTGTCCCTCCCTTGGTGGCGCTGCTGCGTGGCAAGACGCTGCTGGCGCAAGAGCAGGCCATGTTGGCCATGTCCATTTCTCTCCATACGTGTGGATGGTTGCGAAATCCTGCACCAGTTGAAAACGGTGATTTATCCATTGTTTATCCCATGAATTATAGGGGTTTTACCATCCTTCTGGTGGTGCAGGATTTCGCAACCATATGCAACCATCCACAGTATGTGGGGATGGGTGAAAACCCTTCAAAACCTACTATTACCATATGGGTGTTTCCATAAATGGATGGTTTATACGTATATATATATATATGATTATATAATATATATATATATATAATGAAAAATCTCCGATGAAAATGGAGGATGACTGGGGGTACCCCCCCTTTGAGAAAACATGAGAAAACCCCAGGCGGGTCATCCCAGGCGGCCTCAACCCTGGGCGCCTTAGCAGCTCATTCCCCGCCCATTCAGGCGGGGCAAAATGGACCGAGACGGACCCAAAGTGATTTCTCCCAAAAGGTTTCAGACCACTGGATTTTTTCAGGGTTTTGTTCAGCAGTTAGATCTAGTGGAAGTAAGTAATTCAAACATGTGGAATCTCAAAATTCGATTTTTGATAGTAAAGTGTTGATGGTGTTAAGTGTACAATCTGTTCCCATCAAATTGGGATTGAGCCCTTGAATTGCTGGATGGATTGTAGCCATACGCTTGGAGTTGTTTGCTTTCATGAGTTTACCATAATCCCACTAAGAATCAAACGTTTGGCAGGGCGTCGGCTAGATCAACCCCAAATATCCCAAGATTGAGATTTACTTTCAACGTAAAATTCCAGTGTGACCCTGCTTCTGATGGTAAAATCCCTGCTTCTGATGGTAAAATCTTCGATTTTCATACATGTTCATGATTTTTCCTTATGCAACCAGGCAGCTATCGTGCGTGCCGGGGCGGTTTCGCCCCTAGTGGAACGACTGCATGGCGACATGATGAAGGCGGAAATGGACCGGACTTGATGTGGATTACGTTTGGAACCTGAACAGCCCCCCAAAGAGGTGAAAAACAATGTGTGAAACCTGGAAGTGATGAGGTGAATACTGCCAGTTCGTGCAAAAACTATTGTATCTATGTGGGAGTTTCTTATGTTCGTATAGAACGTGTGATGTGTTGGCTGCCTCAATGATTCCGCACATCCCGGGGGCACAAGAAATAAGAGTTTCTCCGTTGATTCATATTATGAGGCTATGTTTGGATGTTTCTTGGAGGGGACAGACTTAAGAATTTGGGAAATTCGCCCGAATCCAGTTTGGCTACTCAGCACTTATGAGTTTGGAACGTAGCTTGGATATCCCCAGTCCTGTAACAGGGACCATCACTATCATCAAACCCCTGGGCTGACATCATATCCGCTGGTTGATCCATCAATAGTTCCAATTGCTCATTAAATCCACCAATCTGACTCAACTGCCGACCACGACCTAAAAATCACAATGTGTATCAATGTGTAGTATACATCAATGGATTGGTTTAAGGGAAAATCTGAACCGGAAACCATCGATTTTCCCATGAAGATCATGGGGCTTAAACCAGTAATTTTTCCCTTAAACCAATCCATTGAATACAAGAAGCCAGGGCACTGCCATCGTGGCGTTGCGCAACCTGGCCACGTCGCATGCGGAGAACCAACAGGCCATTGCTGAGGCGGGTCCGGGGATCTCCCCGGGACTGTAAGATGATCCTATGGACCCAAAAATCCTATGGATTCCTAGGGTTTACCCTCTGATAATTTAACATAACTATGGAAAATCATCATGTTCAATGGGTAAATCCACTATAAATGTGGTATTTTCAATAGCTATGTTAAATTACCGGAGGGTATTCTTGATTATCCTGGGCAAAGATAGCAGATCTGTTTTCATATGTAACAGATGTAATATGAAGAATGATCATCAACAAATGTGTACAAAAATGTTAATCAACAGAAATGGGAGACGATGCCTAAAAAGGGCTGGGGGGATAAGCGGATACAAATGAAAAGGACTAAATGGATAGACCTCAGAGAGGAACATCCCCACAAAGATGGCTACTTTTGAGGGATGCCCATGTGAAAAAAAGGGAAAATATGGCAAAAATGGTAGTAAACCAATGTAAACCATCAACTATGGTGGTAGGTGGTACTTAATGATGCTCCTCTCTAGATCTATGGTATAGTATTATGAGATATTCTGGTATGATATGTTATATAGATCTATGGATATCTATGGTACTTGATGTACCAGATTCTTCGACAAAAACCCGGTCAAATGCCGAAGGCCGGAGCCATCCTGCCCCTGGTGAAGCTTTTGGAAGATGCCATGCGGGGACGCCTGGGGATTTTAAGCCACAAAACATAGGGAACTATCATTCAATGGCCATCCTACCATATATAAGAGCTATTTAAGGGGATATACCCACCAAATATGGCCCAAAATATGGTTCAGTAGCTCCATTTTAGGATCCTGAAAATCCCATTGATATGATAGTATGATATACTATGGGGGTGTGAAGCCATACAATACCTTTTTTATGAGATTTTATATAGAGATGTACACCAACAATAATGGGGATGTATTATGATGTATTGGTGGTGGCTTCATCTCCCCAAGGATCACCAGGTTTGAAAAATCCACTAAAAACCACGAAAAACCGCCATGGAATCAGCAGAAATCACCCATAATCCTCATGTTCAATATATGTTCGATATTTTTCGATGGGTTTTCCATGATTTTTTGTCATCGCTTTTCCAAGCTCTGCATGAATGGCATGAATGACTAGCACCTTGACGATGATCAGGCCCATGGTACGTGAAGAAGCTGCTGAAGCCTTGTGGACTCTGGCACAGGCATGGATGGGCCGTGCATATAGTGTTCATAGATACATATAGATACAATTAGATACATATAATTACATTTATGTTTATATATGCATCTACAAAGTTCGAAACACTACTGGACCCGGATATGTAATTCGCCCCCCTTAACGAGTTGGCTTTAAAATGCATCCGGTCATGGCTCCCTATGGCACTAGGCTCCCTTTATCCCATGGTTGGGCAGAAATCCAGAGTTTCACCGTGCTTTTTCCAGGACAACCTGGAGAATCAACTGGCCATCATTCGCGTGCCTTGGCGCTTCTAGACATTGTAGATAACTATTATAGACAACTATAGACACTATAGATGATTGATTATAGATGACTATGGATGATTATAGATAAAGTGTCCGTTTAATAAGAGCTTCTGAAGTCTTGTAGATATAATTTTAGATAAGTATGGATTTTTACACGGGGTAACTGAGATAGCAATAAGATCTGGAGAAGTGATAAGGAGGTCACCACGAAGTCATCTAGATCAAATGGTAAAGTTTGGGGCTTTCAGATGGAACCTATAGATAACACTCAAGATAGAGCCCCCATATATGTTGCCATTCCGTACAAACAATTCTATGCTCCCAACAGACGTTTTATGGGGTCCATTCCGAGTGAAACAAATTCAACACCGGGCTTATCATAGCATGCTGGGAAAGAGCGTGACTATGACCAGGCCGAGTGTCTTCAGCCATTTGGGTTGTAGTGAAGGCCCTTCCTGTCAGAGTGGATAGTGGATTGATTCATCAATGAAGGATCAGATGATATGTTCTGCAACAGTTGAGCAGTGTTCAAAACCCCGGTTGATGATTATAGGGAGTTATGCTACCTAATATATTGGGGACGAGCATCCGTTATATTGGAAATCCTATTGACCAACCAGTACAATGGGATGATAGATGGTTTTGAACACTGCTCAATCGTGGATCATGTTTCTGAAGAAGTCAGATATGTTTTTTTCCCATCTGGCCATCTATCGGAAGGTATTGTGGATGGAATCTTGATGTGGTGCCGTTGCAAAGTGATGAAAAACGTTGGTATGAAGTCTATCAGTCGTTATTGTTGGAATTCCGGAAGGATGCCAAATGGATAAAAAAAACCCTATGATTCTACAATTTGTGGTGAATGAACATTCATTTTCCAGCTATTTTGATATCCAGCATGGCTTTTGATCCCACCATTTGCTTCCTTGCGCGCAGCAAGGCTGGTGGTTCAGCGTCCATGGTGGCACTCCTCAAGGGAGATTCACAGGAGCAGGTGAGGGTGGGAATGGCTCGTGAAAGTTTGAGGGACCCAAAAATCCTATGGATTCCTAGGGTTTACCCTCTGGTAAACTAACATAACTATGAAAAATCACCATTTTGATATAAAGTGCCATTTTCAATGGCTATGTTAAATTTCCAGATGGTAGACGTTGATTCTCCAAAGATAAAGCGATAACTCGAGTTGTCCATATTTGTTTCCAGATGGTCGTTTCGATTTGCCTCGGAAAAGTGGGGAAATAAAATAGTTTGACATGAGTTGACCATATTCAACCAACAAAAGTGTGAAAGTATCAGTATGTATCTGGTTGCTGGTGTCCAATACGTTTTGACCATATCTAGGATGAGGATTCTGATTGACTGAGTTTTTGTCATGGATTGAAACCACCAAGCAGTTTACTGGTGTATCATCATATTTTCATATATTTTCCAAAAAGTGGTGCGATCGTTGTGGGATAAAATTGCCATGTTCAGACAAATACCAATAGGATGATTGATGGTGGTGGTGTTATGATCGAGTGGTGATTGGTGATTGATGATTGGTGAGGAGAAGCAAGGGGGGTGAATGTGTTCAAAAGGAAGGTAGAAAAATGCATCCAAAGAAATATGTAAGACAGTCTAGCATGTAAAACTCAGGTCAGGCCTATTCCGCATCAGGTTTGTTTCCATCCAGGTCTTTCAAAACAGTTTGTTTTACAATTGTCATCTCATTGTCTAGTTAGTGAATCTCAGTATCACTGCCTGTACATCTGCACCAACTGCTGCTTCAAAAAACACCAGCTATTGCTGGTCAGAGCCGGACTGGACCCTTCTTGAAACCCTTTTCTTAGAATTTCTTGTTGCATCAAAGTTGCTTGTTTCTTCATTGAGACCAGACTCTTGTTCAAAGCCCTATTTGTTCTTTGCTCGCAGCACGTGTTATTGTGCTTCAAAATCTTGAAAACCCAAATTATTGTTGCTTCTCTCAATTCTGCTTTATTCCCCGGTGTTGTTGCTTGAATCTTAAAATTTGCCCATATATAACAATGGGTTTCGTGTTGTTGAAAGCAAACTTGAGGCCTCAGTTGCTTATTGTGACAAATCTCCATGGTTGATATTTGTTGATGGTTATATCGATTCCAATGTTTGGTGAGTGTTCCTTGGTTTTCCCTTGTTTGGATGATGCAATCCCTATTTCTTCGAATGATCCCCACCCTGAAACACTATTCTGACATACTTTCTGACATACCATCTGGAAGTACACATGGCATATATATATATGTGTATTCCGACATTCTTTTGGCATATATTCTAACATGTTATCTAACTTCTTTCTGGCATTCTATCTGGCATCTTTTCAGGCATTCATTCTGGCATTCTATTTGGCATCTAGTCTGACATTCTATCTGGCCTTCTATCTGACACTCTTTCTGACATTCTTTCTGGCCTTCTATCTGACATTCTTTCTGGCCTTCTATCTGACATTCTATCTGACATTCTATGTGACATCTTGCACTCGCAATTGAGGCCCCGCAGTGCCCACTGAGATCTGGAGCTCGCGGTTAAGGTCCGGCAGCGCCCACTGAGATCTGGCGCTCGCGGTTGAGGTCCGGCAGTGCCCACTGAGATCTGGAGCTCGCGGTTGAGGTCCGGCAGTGCCCACTGAGATCTGGAGCTCGCGGTTGAGGGCGGTGTCCGAAGCGGGAGGTGGAGGACGACGTGGGCGGCAAGCCCTGATAAAATCTAAAGCAGCGCGAAATGTTTGACGTAAGCATGGGTCACAAACATGTTGCCGTAAGCCAGCCGGAAGTCGATGTCAGGCCATGAGAGCTGGGGTTCAAACAAGCTTGTGTGCTTTGTTTGGTGCATGTTATCGAATAGTGTTGATGATGATGTTGATGATGATGATGATGATGATGCCATTGCATGTAGGGAAAGCAGACCAGAACGACTGCTACTTTCTTCACGGCCCTAGTTTTTTATGAGATCGGAATTTGCCGTAAGCTCGGCGTAAGCAATCCGTAAGCTAGTCGTAAGCGAAGGTTGCATTCACTGACCCCTGGCCCATTGTGGTTCCTTTGCAATCCTTTGCAAGTGATCTACGTTTAGGTTTTCTTTACCCACCCATACAAGTGAGCACAGCCACTATTCAAGGCTGCCTCTACCTTAAGGGCTGCGCACATCCTTTCACACTCCCCCCAACCTGCTGGCCTCACCTTGGCAGCAGGTTGCACTAGAGATGATTTTTCTCTGCCAAGGTCGCTTGTTTCTTCGTTGCTCGCCCGGCTGCGGCAACTTGCAGTTTCGTTTGTGAGAAATCTCCTTTTCATCCCCGGCTGTAAAGCCCCGCATCCCCAGTCCCCAGTGGTGGGCCGGCTACGCCAACCTTCCCCTCAGGTCAGCCTTCCACCTGGCGTTAGCCAAGGCTTCTGGTTTTCCCAAGGTTTACATATCAGAATCATGACATATCCCCAATGCTGAGCCAATGCTGTTTTGCCGTAAGAGATGCGTAAGCTAGTTCTTTGAAGTTGTTCCTGAAGTTGTTGCGTCGTAAGCGAACCTTTGGAAAACGTAAGCGGTCGTAAGCTCCTACGTAAGCTTTGAATTCTCGGTCAGGAGACCAAAGGGAATTTTGAACACAGCTGGTGGGGAAAAACAGTTCAATCCATCAGTTTAATCATTTACCCTCCTGTAAACATACAGAAAGATGTGGCAAACCCATCATGAAAGTACAGTAGGAATCATTTTCCGTGTGTAAGAGTTTCCCCATGGGTTTTCCATGGCTTTCCACATTTTTTGTGTGTTTACCCCAGGGCCAGTCCACCAATTCCAGCTGAAATTTCAAGGCCACCTTGGCACTGCTTGGTGTGGCCGAAGCAGTGAGGAATGGCGCCTGAGGGTGGCACCGCGCCGCAGCGTTTAACCAAGCAATTTGTCGCGTTTTTACCACCAAGCCGGAGGAAGTTGAAGGGGTATACATAATTATACTTAAGATATATTGAAATGTAATGGGACATGTCATGGAATATGGTTTCGATAAATTGGGCTGCGACCGAAATGTTGACCAATTCTTTTGTACCCAAAAATTGAGCAAGCAACCAGCCACAAACGGCGTTTACACGATGGAAATGTTGACTTTTGCCCACCGCTTGTTGGTTCATATTGATTATTGTGATTGTTTGATTCTTTTTTTTTTGTTTGTTTGCAAAGCGCGTTAGTGATCTGAGGAAGGTGATATATACTTTTTGAAAACCATGCATTTCCAGTTTCATCATCGCTTGAACGTTGGAATATTCAATAAAGATGAGGATGTGGGACAACGGGGACATGGCCAACAATAGAGGAGACACTGACAAACACAAGCAATCATGGATTGGTCTTAACTCGAATACTGTAATTCGATTCATTATTTATTATCACAAAGTATTTTTGATTTTTGACCTGTTAGTGTGAGACAAGAATGCCTTCGACGCATACTATCATTTGTTCCCCATCCATTTATTGGCACGACAAATTCGAAGAAATCTGATGCCATGCTGCAATGCTGCACCGAAACTTTGAATTTAGAAAATCATTCTATTACTTGGAGCAAAAGCTCCCATTACTCAGTGAAAAAAGAATATTGATTATAAAATTAATATATATATATATATTTATTTATTTTTTAATATATAAATTAGTATTTAATTAAAATTCTATATTATATTTCATTAAATATTTATAATTTATTTAAATTAATTTAAATATATTCTAAAATTTATTAAAATAATAATTTAAAATGAATAAATATAAAATTATTGTTGGGGTTTTTTTTGGCTTAACCCTTT